TGAAATACGATCCCTTGTGCTTTTATTTGAAATCTGGAGCCAAATTTGACCGTTGCAATTCCATTCCTACTTTTGGTAATAAAAATTAGGGTTTATATTTTATTTTTTATTTTTCAATAAATAAGGATTTTTACCCATATGATGTGTCTATGGCAGTAAATGTTTTTTTGTATTTTATTGAAGTAGTCACTAAAATGGAAATGAAAACTAGTCACTATTAATTATACTGTATAAAAACCCTCTCTCCTTTGTCACAAAATTCAATTTTTTTCAAATTCATTTCGAGGGCGCATTTCATACAAAAAACTGTACTGCCGACAACAAATCGATTGTAATACATGAATACATATCTAACGCAACCTTTTATTATCATATATGTAATAACGAACATTTTAAGCTTTGTTAAATAATCGAAGATTTCAAATCGCCCACACGATTTAGTTGAGGGTTTGACATATCCTTTACCGGCGCCGTATTCGCAAAGTCGACAACGTGGAGTATTTGTAAACCGCTAATACTCATATGGACATGTGGCCAAGAGAATGTCCTAATATTTAATCAAGCCCGAGCTCTTTAGCCATGGAAGCATCTCTGTCAGACCTTCTTTCAAACTTCTGGGATTGTAACCGAGCTCTGTCTTAGCCTTGTCGCAATTGTAAGCCCACTGATGCCTGAGAACATTCGCTGTCTGTTCGAAACAGAGCAGAGAAATAGACTGTCGTTAAGTCACAATTTCAAGAAACTTACAAATCATAGCACAATCTTGAGAGTGATAAAGTCGAAAATGTGGGCAGCAAAAATGTTCAGTCACAGAGATGTAAGGGGTACAAGCGGGTAGAAAATGTCAAAGTCTGTCCATTTGAAAGTAAAAACGAAGAAATTGCCATGGTAGTAAAGTGAATAGTGAGGCGCTAGATTTGACAAGATAAGATCCGGGCATTTTGACGCTTATCATCACTAGATTAAAAAAACATGAAAGGGCTTACGGGCTATAACCATTGAAACATTTACGTTTTGATAGAACAGTAAAGATAGTTGTATTGTGTAAATTTACATCAAGATGCTATTTTTGACCGCTAATTTTCAAATTTTATGCATGTAAAAACATCATTGAAGCAATTCAATATTTCAGTCTTTGAGTCTCCTAATGTACATAATCGATAGTCATTAGTCAATTTATTGATGAAAGAAATGACATAGATTGAACAGAATCATACGTAAAACAAGAAAGGAAAAAAATCCCATACCGGGGGACTGAGAAGGGGAAGCTTCCCTGTGATTCTGGCGAAAAGAACAGACAACCATCCATATACTTCGATAAGAAAAAGCGGGATGCGGAACCGAGGCTTAGCTGTCTGAGTGATCGTTGCAGCTATATCAAAAACATCCTTAAAAGATGCGTTTTCACCTGTAAGAAGATACCTTTCACCCGGCCGACCTTTGTCAAGTGCTGCAATGTGCCCCTGCACCACATCATCCACATGGCTGAACGAGAACCCCTTTTCTTCGCCCATGTAACCTGGAAGCCGGTAATTAAACCGCTCCACAAGCTGACAAAAAGAATATTCAAACAGTCAAACATTCGGTCAACTTATCTCATCACCGTTCGAAAATCATTCCATCAAATTCACATCAATACTTAAATTCAAAGCATAATGAATGTGCACAAATCCATAGAAAAACAAGACGTAACACCATATTTTAAATGACCGCGACTATTATAATCCGATTTTTAAATCAATCAACGAAGCACAAAACTATTATCGGAATTATCAAATTGAACTCAATTTGCATCAAGACAGTGTTCCAAAAATTAAGCTCTAAAAAGATCGAAAACACGAGCAATTTTACCAAAAGTGCCACCATATTTCCAGTTGTGACTTTGCCGGGACCATATATAACTCCAGGGTAAACTGGAACTATAGGCACTCCCTCGGCTGCAGCTTCTAACGCAATCTTATCGGCTACAGCCTTCGATTTCTCGTATTCAGTGCAGAAATACTTGGCAGAATGCACCTGTTAAAAAAATCACACCACATACTAAAATTAAATTAAAAAAAAAAAATCTTCCATTTTTTTCCCTCAAAGTTCAGTTTGAATTGCATAGAAAATAATTTGCAGTACTTGAGTTTCATCGCCGATATGCCCATCAGTGGATCCCAATGCGAAAAACGACGACGTGTGAATGATCTTCTCGATTGTGTTCGTCTCCTTATAGGCATTCAATACGTTCCTCAGACCCCCTACATTAACCTAATCAACTCTCATCGAGTAAGTGAAATTCAATCTAGGGCAATTTTCACTGATGAACTGATTAATTTTCAAAAAAATAAATTAAATTAAATCAAAAAGTGGAGCTGAGCTCACTGTAGTGAATCTCGAGGGATCAGGAATCCATGGCTCGACTAGGGCAGCAGCGTGGAAGATGACGTGGCAGCCGGAGAAAGCTTCTAGGAGGGACTGGTAGTCGGTGACATCGCCGTACACATACTGGAGAGTTCCGCCGCCGGTTGAGGCGGCGCCGGTGGGCGGAGGCAATGAGGAGAGATCGCTGGTTTTGCGGACGAAAGCCTTAACGCAGTAGCCTTGGTTGAGAAGCGCGTGGCAGAGCCTCCCGCCTAAATAGCCTGACGCGCCGGTGACCAACACCACTTTTTTCATTTTGATCGCCTTTTGCAATTCAGCTGACTCGGCGGAGACTATGTGATTGGGCTTTTAAATACATAATAATTAAGGGAAAATTACAGTTTTTGCCCCTAAAGTTTGCACTAATTTCATATTTGGCCCCCGACGTTCACAAAAAAACACATTTGGTCCTTTTTGTTGCAAAAATTCAACACTTTTAGTAATTTTCGTCAATTTTCCGTTAAAACAAACGGAATCAAGCGTGTACCCATCACTGCCTTAACTAACGGACTAACGGTAAATTGACGGAAAGAACAAAAAATGTTAAATTATTGGAACATGAATGACCAAACGTGTTTTTTGTGAACATGGGGACTAAATGTGAAATCGGTGCAAAGTTAAGGGATGAAAACTATAATTTCCCCTAATAATTAAGCATTGATGTTAGGATTTAGCTGGTGTTTTTTATTTTATTTTTTATTTTACTAGGTGACAACTATTATTAGTTGCCTAATTATTTACGTGGTGTTTGCAAGTGCTTATTTAATAGTAGAAGTTGTAAATTGTGAATTAAGTTAGTTTTAAGTTTTTATTTTCTAAAATTTGGGGGTGTTCGCAAATTTTCTTGAAAATAAACTTAAATAGAAAAATCAGGGTCATGAGCGAATAACAAATTAACTTTAGTTGCTTATTTTAAGGGAAGTAAAGATAAAATTTTATTTTGCAAACACTTAAAAATAGATTATGAGAAAGAAATTAAAGTTCATAATCTATTTGTAAAAGCTTTTACAAATACCACCTTAATGCTCGAATTCGGGCTTGTAAGCAAAATAAATACTTGCCTAAAAGTTGTACCCTCAATTTAATTAACTTAATTCTGTAGTGTTCATAATTTAATTAACTTAACGGAAAAATTGTAAAGAACTACATGACAACTCAGTTAAGGATATCTTGCTTTTTGTCTGAACAAATATATCCACGTATCCAACGGTTAGAACTGTCAATCCGGTCATGTGAGTTGAGTTTGGATTGCCTCAATCTCATATATCATCGGGTCTCATTAATATTGACTCAAGCTTTCGTATCATCGTGCCTCATTAATATAGGCTCAAACTCGACTCATATACTTTTCCAGGTTTCGGGTTTATATCGGGCATCATTACTATAGAAACTGTAATGAGTAATTTTTATTTTATGGAAAACAAGTGATAAATAAGATTTACCTTCATCGAAACCAATCCAAAGAAACCATAAATGATCTTTGGAAGTTATTGGAAAAACTTAGAAATAGGACCGAAAGAAGTTTAAAAAAAATAGTATCGTTTATTATTAGAAACAATTTATATTCGCAAATCCGAGTGATAAATTTCAGCAAGTGGATTTTGAATGGGTATATTGTTTTTTTTATTCCTATTTACCTATTACCACCGTCACCACTTAATTGGGTTGCGGTGGCGCCGGTGGGCGGAGGCAATGAGGAGAGATCGCTGGTTTTGTGGACGAAAGCATTAATGCAATAGCCTTGGTTGAGAAGCGCGTGGCAAAGCCTCCCGCCTAAGTAGCCGGGCGGGCGGGTGACCAACACCATTTTGTTCATGGTGATCGCCTTTTCAATTAAACTGATTTAGGCGGAGACTTTTAGATTCAGTTCTTTGAAAATTGAAAGGCGCATTGATGTTTGGTTGTAGGTGTTGTTTTTTAACTAATTTTTTTTCGGTAGCTTGTGTTGTAGTTTATCTTATTTAGAGGGTGTTTGGCTAAGCTTATTTTAAACAGTTGATAAGCTCTTACATCTGATAAGATGTTTTTAGAGCTGATAAGCTGTTACATCTTATTTTTAGGATTAATTTTTAGAGTGTTTGGATAATGAGCTTATTTCTTATTTTTACTCATTATAAGATCTTAAATAAAAAGGTGGGGTAGAGGTACTTATTTAAAAAGATCTTATTTGGTCTCCAACAGCTTATTTTTAAAAAAATTAAGATCTTTTTATAAAAATTTACCAAACACTTTGGAAGAGCTTATAAGCTCTAAAACATCTTATAAGCTCCTTTTAACATCTTATAAGCTTAGCCAAACACCCTCTTAATGCTGGAGTCGGACATGTAATGAAAATAATTAATTATTTTGCTAAAAAGTTGTATCTATTGTAAAATGACCAATTTAATCTAGCTATTTGATTTAGTGATGTTGAATGACCATATCAACCAAAAGCTTAAGCTGTTAGTGAAATGTATCATATAATATTAATATCTCCAATACGCCCCCTCAAGTGCAGGCGAATTACATTTGAAGCCTTGCACTTGAAATATTTTTTAAATGGGTGGCTGTGGGATTCGAACTCAGGACCTTTCATTTGGCCTGGCTCTGATACCATATAGGAAGAATAGAATATGAGAAGAAGAGAAGAGAAATAATAATACGTAATATAATAGAAACCCCCATTGTGTTATGGGTTGATTACATGGAATATATATAGAGAAATATTCCAAGGTAATAGAGTTTGACTAGGTAACTAAATCCTAACTAATCTAGGTAACTGAATCATAATAGAATCCTAATATTAGGAGAGTTATTATAATATAATATACTCTAACACGCCCCCGCAGTCGAAACGCGACGAACGTGAAGACTGGACATTCACTTGCTAGCACGCCCCCGCAGTCGGAACGAATAAACTTCAAAACGAATAAACTTCAAACGTGAAGACTGGAACTTCAAACGTGAAGACTGGACAGAAACCGCGAAACACATCGCTAGAGAATTCCTCTGTTGAAATATCTGCCAAATTTTAAAAATAATAATAATAATAATAATAATAATAATAACGGGTGAGAGAAAAATAAGAAAACCTTTTTTTTTTTTTTGTGTATGAATCGAGAGAGAGAGAGAGGGAGAAGATATGAGAGGGGTCGCCGGCCATGGAGAAGAAGAGAGGCAGCGGCTAGGTTTTAGGACATGGAGAAGAAGAAGACGAAGAAAAAGAAAAAAAAAAGATAGAGAAGATGCACCACCGGAGGAGCGAGAAATTTCGGGTGGTGTTCATAGAAGATAGAAAAGAAAAAGATAAAGAGAGAGAAAGAAAAAGATAAAGAGAGAGAAAAAAAAGAGATAGAGAAGATGCACCACCGGGATAGGGAGAAGATTGGGTGGTCACCGCCATGAAGAAGAAAAGCGGTTAGGTTTTCACCGCCATGGAGAAGGAAGGCGGCTAGGTTAAAAAACCTAAACCTAGTGCTCTGATACCATGTTGAATGACCATCTCAACCAAAAGCTTAAGCTGTTAGTGAAATGTATCATTTAATATTAATATCTCCAATAAGTGATTGTGAAAATATATAAGAACGTTAATAACGAGTATATAAATACCTAGAAAGGGACCATACCATAGAGACAATCCTATGGGGGAGGATTGTTTTCTCATTAAAATTTGTATTAACCACCAAAAGTTACAAAGAGAAGTTACATAAAAGTTATCTCCTGCACATATATGGGATTAAGAAGTGGGAAATTAACGCTCGTGGGAGGTTGAAAAACCTCAAACATTTTCCACATTATTAACAACAATACCCTCGGTTTAATTAACTTAAGGGAAAATGAGGGATAACTCCTTCATTAGGTAAAATAATATAGTTTGGGCACAATTTTTAATTGACCATTTTTAAATAAATCCATTTAATATTTTCTGAATTATGTGACCCCTAAGCTTATATTAATGTCCATTATACCCATTTTTATTATTTTTCTCCTACTTTATCTCACTTCTCTCTTATCTGTCATTTAATATTCTCAATTTATTTCTCTCTCTTCCTTTTTTTCCTCACTTTTGACTTTTTGACGTGTTCTTTTTATTCTCTCTTCTCTCTCCTCTCTCTTCTCTCTCTTCTACAATTTCCTCCCTTCTCGTATCTTTTTCGTTTATTCATTTTCTACTGCTCTCCTCTGTCCTTTCTCTCTCTGCCTCTCTTCTTTCTTTTCCCCTATTTCCTCTGCTCTCGTTTGTTTTTGTTTCATGTTTTCTCTTTTATTTTTCTCTATTTCTTCTCACTACTTTATCTTTTCTTCTACATCTCATGTTTTGGTTGTTGAAACCAATCTATTTTCTACTCTATGAAATTCATGTTTCACCGGAAATGAGATTTTTTTCTTGAGTATTCAATTTTATAACACCATAGTATCTTAAATTGAAATATAATATAGTGAATTAATGGAAAATTATAGTTGACTGCCAATTTTTTATAGTTGACATCGGAACAATTGTAGTTGACTATCCTGTCTTTGTAGTTGACTCTGGCAACAATATAGTTAACTACCAATTTTTTATAGTTGACATCGTAAAAGTTATAGTTAACTATCTAATTTTATAGTTGACTCTGGAAAAAAATATAGTGAACTATCCAATTTTATAGTTGACTGTGAGTGTAGATGAATGTAATATTTTAAGTTTTTCGACTTGTGGACTCTGATAAAACAAATTTCATACGAAACAAATATTTATGAGTCAACAAATAGTGTAGATCTAAAAAGCAAGCTTGTTTACAAACTCCATTTTTGAGAAATCAACCATGGAAGAATTTCGAACCGTCGCATATGGTCGTCGCGCACTGTTGCATACCGTTGATGTAGGAGTCTTCGATGTGTCGTTCGGAGTCGCTGATAATGGTGTCAGAAAGAGAAATTAAGGGGTAAATGCACAAAATTAGGTTAATAGAAGTCGGTGATAGAGATGGGTGTATAAGAAACTACCTGTCTTCTTCTTGCTGTTTTTCACCATTGTTTATCAACCTGTGTGTCTGAACGATTCCCACAATAATAGTATTCTGGTTTTTTTTTTTTTGTTTTCTCTGAAGAAATGTAGCAAACTAGGGCACTGTTGGAAATGGGAAAAGATCCGATATATATTGCAGTTTGTTTTTTGGCTATTTTCTTGGCACAAATATAGCATACCAGCGGAAATGGAGGAGCAAAAGAAAATAGTTGAAGATATGCAGTTTTTATGGAAAACGGTGGGGGGGGGGGGGGGGGGGGGGTCATTGCTATTACAAGTTATGGGGGTAGTTCAGTTATTAACATTTCTAAGGGGGTTTGACCCATT